AGATATTCGGTATTAAGCTTGTTCAGAAAAGCAGAAGCCGGAAGAGTACCAGATCGAAAGGTCCCGAGTAGACTGGCGTATGGACATGTTAGCATATGGTACGCCGGCCTACTGCCCGACCACACGAGGCGAGGCGCAGAAGATCGAACGAGTCTAACAAGTCGCTGGCAGGATCATCCCTAGTTTGTGGGGTCTACAGTACGAAGACAGGTGCGAAGGGCTGGGACTATACATTCTGTCCCAACGACAATTGCGACTCGAGCATATCATGACTTAGCGTATCCCACATCTGGGTGACTTTTCCATGCTGAAGCAACTGCTCCACTTGCGAAGAGCTTACAGCACACGCGGACAGCAATAAAAGCTTGTAGTTTCAGATCTGAAGCAAGCTCTCCATCACCTGTGTTTGAACGCCGAGTGGTCAATATTCGGAACAGCGTGCCAGAGCAGACAGTGGAAGCTAAATCAGTGCAGCAGTTCAAAAGGTTGCTGGATCTGCATTTCGCCAATGGTAGATTCCGAGAGAGATTACCCGTTGATATCTCATATTTGTGAGCCCCAATCTACTGTGGGATACACGTTGTTTAAGATGTTACGTGGAAGCTTGAAAAACGATCACGGGGTTGACGGATAAGATATATTTATTTGGTTCATAGATAGCGTGTTTTGTTATAGACAGTTTGTTTGCCTATTTATTTAACGTTCTTGATCACATTTCAACGGAGTTAGGCAAATTCAAATTGCTATTTCCTCCCATAATACTGTATACAGTAATGCGTGACAACATCCGTAGACCAAATGAGAGCACAGCGGAAGGTGCTGAAATCTGTTGACTAAATTAGCAAGAATAAGAACATCAAAATAATAAATGTCATGATTCTCGGTTGAAACCAAAGATGTTTCACGAATTCGAAAGCAGCCTGCCGATGTTCAGCAGGAGGGAAGCGCAGAGAACGCCTGTGACGGAGTTCCGTGGACAGACGATCCCCACGACTGCTCCTCGAGAGAGACGGCTAAGGCGCCCCTTTCTGGTACGGCCAATAATCGCAATATCAAAAGTTAACCTGCTAACATGGCAACCATTGACGATTGGCAATAAAAGTAGAGGAGAAAGGATCTAAACTGGGAATGAAAATAAAGTCGAAACAGGAGTAGCTACGTGTCAGCACAGTGAGCACAGCACTTACAACCGTCAAGCATAACCGATCGATCCACAATGCTGGGGTGCTCCTCTAACATTGCAACTATCACCAGATATTTACAGAAAAAGCATAAGGGGAATGCGAACTCCTGCGAACCCGGACCGACGAGATGTTGGCGATGCACAAGTTTCGCGATTAAGCTGAAACCAAGTGATCCAAGTCATGAACAAACTGCAACTGAATAAAATCACTTTTGAAACCATCCGCAGTTGACCTGCGCCAGGAAAACAGTAACGACTTAGCTCCGATTAGATACCTTTGATCCATGTATTAATACTACAATCTGGCAGTTATTTCGGGAGATAAAGGTATGTTGTGTAGACTATGGGGCAATGTTTGTATAGCAAATAGAGAGCTCACCAAAATGCATTGTTTTGAAGGGAGGCGGCACATTTGGGGATTCACGCACAGCTAAGATAGAGTGACGAAAAGGTTTTCAACGAGAATACACTGACCTTTCTCAATTAGATCGAATAAATGTGAGAGAGTGGTTGTTGCGGGGACCTCATGAAGTGTGATGTAGCAGGTGGTACGGAATTTGAACGAGCGTATCAAAGTGACAGGGACGGAGATTACATCACTCATAATGCTGGAAAAATGGGCTGCAAAAAGAATCAACGAATCTAGGGATCACGCCATTTTCCTAAAAGTGATGACACTGGGATGAGGAGAATCGGAACAGATGCCGTGAAACTACATAGGTAATCTATGCAATGAAGCATTGAACGTATAGAAAAGAAAAGCCATTCAAATGCAGCAATGGGGAATAGTTTTCACAACGTCACTGTGCGCAATTCCAATTTGTGGTATATATAAGTAGGCACTGCCAGAGCACACATCCCTATGAAGAAGCCACACCGCAGCGTTCGTAGACACTATAACAGTGGAACGACGGGGCACAATAAAAACAAAAATAAGGAAAGTTTTAATTAGAGTAGAGAAAAGTAAAACAGGCTGGTTTGTTAAATGTGACGAAATTGGAAATGATGAAGGGAAAGCTGATATTCACGGGAGGAGATGCCGAGAAGACATTTCAGACAACATGAATGAGAACATACGAGTAAGAGTAGCAAAATAAGCTATGAACTCGAGATATTAATCAATTGATCTTGTGTATAAAAAGAAACGAAACTGCTCCCGCGATGTAGCTGGTGGTCCGGTATACAAGGACAACATTGGACAGAGAGACGGCTTGTTGTGTGGCGACAAATCTATCAAGCACTGTTGAATAGAGAAAATCGGTATAGTTAAAAATTCAGAGGAAAGTGTGCATTTGCAAGCCATGTTGAAGGCAAGCCGATAAAAAGCTGAAACACAAAGCTTACTATAAGTAAGTGACAAGAGTATGAGCGCACAGATCCGACCAGGAAATATACAGTAATGATAGAGGAAAAGACACAGTTAGAGAAATAAGATAAAGCGAAGAAAACTGTACCACTTAGACGACTAAACACGCCTGTTTTGCGATTATGAGTGCAACAGCCATGACTCGAACCAACGTAGAAACAAAACGATAGTGCGAAATGAGGAGGCGAGAAAGAGATAGATGACGAAATGAGTATAACTAGTGACATGTGATGTTCATGTGGAGACAATATGTTGAACAACGTGCTTCACAAACAGCCTGGGTAAAGTAAGAGTAAGGGTGTTCAAAAGTCTATGCCTTGCTTACACACAATGTGATGTGTACGTTGGAAAACATTCGTTCAGGTTATTCTCTCTGTTTCATGAGGACTTGCGCCTACTGATGAAACAACAGAGAAGTGAAAAGTCATAAGACAAAGAAGATTTGCCCCGAAAGGCAAATGTTTGAAATACAGGTTTTGGTTAACCGCGGTTGAGAGACACACTCACGTGATTGTGTTTACCGCCCGTCCTACTTGGACTCAAAATTGCAGTAACATAATAATGTCATTGGCAACCTTCACGCATCAAAATGAGATGGGTCAGTTGGCTTGCGCTGCTATTGATATAGGATGACAGTGTGAATCAAACAGCGTTGCATAATAATAACTCGTCAGGAACAAAATTCATAAAGATATGGTGCGAATGGGGCAAAGGACGAGAGTGATCATTTGGCCCAATATAACTAGCGGAATGAAACGAGGCAAGGAAACAAGCAAACTTAATGAACAGCACTATAAAGTAGTTCGACCTAAAATAACAATTACTAGCATTGGAATTATGAACAGCATGTTACTGCTATCCTCGAATGATCGCAAAGGATGTTGGTTTGCAAGAAAGATTCGTGACACGAACGAATTGCCAATTCACGAGGTTCAGCCGAAGATACATTCAGTACCCGAAATCCGCTTCTTCAGTGACTTATGAGTCTTTATAATATGCCCTGAGCAGGACGACAATCGGAAGTTACAGATACCTGGTGCGTCAGTGAGAGCAGAGGACATAAACAAAATGCAGAAGGCGAGTAAGATGAATCGCATCAGTACTCGATCGACTGATCAACTCTCGGAAATCATAACTGTCGAGAGTGGTAGTTAGTTGGTCTTTTTCAGGTCAAGTGGGAAATTAGATCCTGAGGTATGCCGATACCTAACTGCTCCAAACCTAACATAAATGATGAAACAGAATATAATAAGAATATACGCGAAAGACGTAAATAGTTGAGAAAACTATGCACGTAATTTACATATTTCAGTTGACAATAGGACAACACGCGCGATGAGTCGTCTTAGACACCAATCAGCCTCGGTTATTCTTACCCTGGCCACCAATACCATCCTTTCGCGTTATTTGATTCGGATACTGAACAAACACTAGTGAAAATGCTGGTAGATTAGTAACTACGAGATCTAGATCACATTCCGAAGTTTAAATGTCACATTGGCGGTCTATATTTCAAAACCATGGATCTTTCATTTGCTTTGCTACTCACACACCTTCCCACGCCAACTGTTCAGTTCTTAACAATCGCTGTTATCCGTTAACAGTCGAATCGCACTTTCATGATTCCCGATGGTTCCGCTGATGAGCACAGAGTTGGCCCAGTGGCCCTTTTTCGGCTACGGTACTCGTTCCGTCTGGCATGTCTCAATGTACGTACATTCATGCAGATCCGGCAACAAGCTGGTCCTGCGCGCACCTTGGAATCCCTCGCCACCGATGTCTGTGGCTTTTCTGAAACCCGATTGCTAGATCCCAGTATTGTGATTGAATTGAGATCTCTCACGAATCACGGAGTCATATTTCACCTACGTCCATCTGGTGACACAGAAGCTACTGCGGTAGGCTTGGATGCCGTTGGTACAGTGCTAAGCAGCAAAACCGAAACCGAACTGTTGGACTGGTTCCCGATTAATAGCCAACTGTGCGCAGTTCGGCTTCGGCGGATCATACAGGATCAACAGATGTTGAAAGGAGAGATGCAATTTGTTTGTGATTTTAACGTACGCTCCAAATGACCGCAGTTACGATTCGGTCACCAGCTCTGGAGCAAAGCTTGCAAATCCGATGTCGTTAACCTTACTGGGGCACTCAAAGCACGGGCTGGTCGTCTATTATAATGTGAAAGTCACCTCGGTGGTCGACATGCGCTCGATGAGCCTCTCAGACAATGGAGAGTAACTTCTCACACTGTAGGAAAACAATCATCTGCTTTTCTCGAGCACCAGCTTCAGGCATTCAGCTACTTAGCACCCTCGTTCTGCAATTCAAATGTGGACCCCGATTGATCAAATCGCAATTAGTTTCAAATAGTGGGACAGTGTAAAAGTATGCAGATCCATCGAGTCCGCATTTCTTGACCCAGAACATTATCATGTCTGTGCCAACATCTGAATGAGTTTCGGAGGGTCCCGATAAACGAAGCATTGTTAGATACAAATAAACTATCTACATCATCGATTTCAACAGAGCTATCAATCGTTCCTAGCCGATGCATATAGCTGCAACTCAGTGAAAAACATTGATGGACATTGGACCTTCATGTAGCAGACCATGATCACTTCCGGACAGTCAGTCAGTGATCTTACTCAGCAACATATGAATGCCTAGAAGAGGCTATCTTCGTCCCCGTTCCTCTTCAATATTACGATTAAATACATTCCGTCAAGAGTTCTGGGGGTTTGCCAAAATTTCGGCCAGCAGCTGATAGCGAGTAAGCGAGCGATTGACAGAGTATTCTGATGACATCGCATTACTTGGTGACGATTCGCAGAGTATGCAAACCCATCTAAACAATTTGGAGACTGAGGCCTATGCGAGGGTGAGTCAAAAACTAACGTCATCTTCATTAGGACAGGTATGTTTATGCAATACAGGAACATGTATCATACATCAAAATGAAGCTGGTCCTTTGCGGATCACAATTCTACTTCTCATTATATTCACCGTTTCTCTCGATAGTAATGTTTCACCTTGTTATTGAGTTAAAACAATATTTCACCTTGTTGAATGGTGGCCAATTGGTCTGCGCGTCTGGCTTGCAATCATAAGGTCAACGGTTCTAATCCGCGTAGTGGCAGTCGTCCGCGCGATATACTCAGCCCACGCGCGACTAGTGGTGGTCGCGCGGCAGGAAAGCGCTGTTACGGCGTACAGCTGACGAGTAGTCTTACCCTTAAAGTTTTACCTTCGAATGAAAGCATATATCCCTGTCACGTAAAATGCAGTTAACTGTTTTTTGAGCCACTTCTTCATTGCAGTTTTCACTTCCTCGTCACTGGAATAATGCTTGCCTCATGGGGCCAAAGAAATGGGGAGTCTGAAGGCGCTAAATCTGGTGAGAACGGAGGATGTGGCAAAGTTGTCCACACGAATGAGGCAATTGTCTCCCTTGGCCTGATGCTCGTGTGTGGTCGAGCATCGTCGTACAGAAAGACTACCTCGATTGGCAAATTGGATCTCCTTCGTCGGATTCTTGCTCTGAGAATGGCAAGAGTCTCAATGTAAAACTGAGTTTATTGTTTCTCCTGTTGGAGGAAAATTAAGAAAAATGACACCTTCAGCAACCTAAAAGGCAGTCGCCATGATTTTTCCAGCTCACTTGTGCGACATTTCCGGCTGCGGTGACGCCATTCCATTGACTTCATCTTTGATTCCGGTTCATAATAATGAACCCATTTTGCATCATTTGTTACGAACCTTCGAAACAATGCGCTGTCATTTGACTATGTTCTATAAGTTCAGTGCATGCATCGACCCTGTCAGTCTTATGTTCGGTTGTCAGCTCTCGCGGTACCCAATGGACACATAGTTTATATATAATGAGTAATAGGCTCGCAAAACTAAGTGAACTCTCATGTTTGTCGTTTTTTAATACTCTTTTAGGCCACTCAGCCCATTTCGGCTTCTTATGCATTATGCATTAACAGGATCGTAGACGCAAGGCTGTGGTATGGGGCGGGATAAAGAAACTCACAACACAGACGTCATTGTGGCCGGTTCTTCGACGATAAGTCGGGTCGAATTGCGGCAGTCGCCCCAGTGGTCTGCCGGTAGTGAGTTCTATACTAAAAATGGCCTATCGCTGCCGTGTAATAGCAAGCTGATGGAAGCGGCTGGGTTATTGCGGGGCACCAAAAACCAAGCGAACTGTCATAAAGGTCAAATAGAGAAGAGCACAA